TATTTCAAGATAAAAAAGTTTCAGAAACCGTTTGAAAAATATAAAATAAGATTATGTCGTTACAATTTCGTTGTTTTGCAGATGTTTCGGCAACTCATAGCAAAACAGCATTCAAGATGGTTCGTCGTCTATTTAAATTTTACAAGAATCTTGAACAGCTTTCTAAATAATCTTAACTCAGTACAAAACACACTTTATTGTTGAGTAGTTACATGTGCGAATTAAGCCTTTTGTATAGATTGACCACCAAACAAATTGTGCGAATGTTTTTAATTATTACACCAATCTGAATTTTAAAAAACTGCGTCTTTCCCGAAACGCAAAAGATTACTTTTTGTCTGGAACACAACTACAAAGAAAATGAATGTCAATGTAAGGAAAACCTGACAAAATAGGCTTCCTTGTTAAATGTGTGTTAGAATTAAAAAGAAAAAAAATGATGTCTGTCTGGTTTGATTTTCTAAAGGTTATCGATGAATTATCACGTTGTGAAATATATAAGACATTACAGAAACTCACTCAGTCCATATATGAACCTTGGTAATGGATTGTCAAACTTAAACATATATTTGTTCGACCAAAATTATGCCTGAAAATAGCAAGAAGAATACTTGATCAAAATAGTTATTTGATGTTCGGTACGCATGCGGTAATACAACTCAGGCGTGACATATATCACAGTTATACCTGTACAAATTAGATCAATGGGGGTGGTTTGAGAAAAGATATTGTAGGCCTGGTATCATTTAACTTTTCTGTACTGAAATAAAAAAACAAATGCTCGCAAGGACAAGTTATGAACTGAAAGTTCTTATAAAAAGATAAAATAAAATGGTAAGAAAAATAGGGGTAAACGCCACCAAAGTGAAAGGAAGCAAACTGATTAGGTAGACATGTCCATATTTAGCATTATATATAAGTTTGCTTAGTTGAAACTCATTACTATATCGTAACATATAATTAAAAATATGATTTCAATGTTCATGTGTATATAGCGCATTGAAATTGATACGGCCTGACCGAGATAACTAAACTTCGAATGTGTGCTTTTTGAATCAATTCAAGTTTAAATTTCAAAATATATTTACGTATAACTAGTACATATAGTCTACCCACGAACGGCAACTTGTCCTTCAACGTAATCACAAACAGTTATGGAAATATATTCTTCAACTATATTTATATCAAATTGTCCTACAACATAACACATTTAATCTCAACTTGTGTTACAACATAATCACAAATAATGTCAAATGATGTCATAACACAACAAAAATAATTTACACGTACAACACAGCACAATAACAACTTGTAGTACACGTACAACACAGCACAATAACAACTTGTAGTACACGTACAACACAGCACAATAACAACTTGTAGTACACGTACATGTACAACACAGCACAATAACAACTTGTAGTACACGTACATGTACAACACAGCACAATAACAACTTGTAGTACACGTACATGTACAACACAGCACAATAACAACTTGTAGTACACGTACATGTACAACACAGCACAATAACAACTTGTAGTACACGTACATGTACAACACAGCACAATAACAACTTGTAGTACACGTACATGTACAACACAGCACAATAACAACTTGTAGTACACGTACATGTACAACACAGCACAATAACAACTTGTAGTACACGTACATGTACAACACAGCACAATAACAACTTGTAGTACACGTACATGTACAACACAGCACAATAACAACTTGTAGTACACGTACATGTACAACACAGCACAATAACAACTTGTAGTACACGTACATGTACAACACAGCACAATAACAACTTGTAGTACACGTACATGTACAACACAGCACAATAACAACTTGTAGTACACGTACATGTACAACACAGCACAATAACAACTTGTAGTACACGTACATGTACAACACAGCACAATAACAACTTGTAGTACACGTACATGTACAACACAGCACAATAACAACTTGTAGTACACGTACATGTACAACACAGCACAATAACAACTTGTAGTACACGTACATGTACAACACAGCACAATAACAACTTGTAGTACACGTACATGTACAACACAGCACAATAACAACTTGTAGTACACGTACATGTACAACACAGCACAATAACAACTTGTAGTACACGTACATGTACAACACAGCACAATAACAACTTGTAGTACACGTACATGTACAACACAGCACAATAACAACTTGTAGTACACGTACATGTACAACACAGCACAATAACAACTTGTAGTACACGTACATGTACAACACAGCACAATAACAACTTGTAGTACACGTACATGTACAACACAGCACAATAACAACTTGTAGTACACGTACATGTACAACACAGCACAATAACAACTTGTAGTACACGTACATGTACAACACAGCACAATAACAACTTGTAGTACACGTACATGTACAACACAGCACAATAACAACTTGTAGTACACGTACATGTACAACACAGCACAATAACAACTTGTAGTACACGTACATGTACAACACAGCACAATAACAACTTGTAGTACACGTACATGTACAACACAGCACAATAACAACTTGTAGTACACGTACATGTACAACACAGCACAATAACAACTTGTAGTACACGTACATGTACAACACAGCACAATAACAACTTGTAGTACACGTACATGTACAACACAGCACAATAACAACTTGTAGTACACGTACATGTACAACACAGCACAATAACAACTTGTAGTACACGTACATGTACAACACAGCACAATAACAACTTGTAGTACACGTACATGTACAACACAGCACAATAACAACTTGTAGTACACGTACATGTACAACACAGCACAATAACAACTTGTAGTACACGTACAACACAGCACAATAACAACTTGTAGTACACGTACAACACAGCACAATAACAACTTGTAGTACGCGTACATGTACAACACAGCACAATAACAACTTGTAGTACACGTACATATACAACACAGCACAATTACAACTTGTAGTAAACGTTCAACACAGCACAATAACAACTTGTAGTACATGTACAACACAGCACAATAACAACTTGTTGCACAACACATCCACAAACAGTTTCAATTTGACATACACTGTAACCTCAATATCGAATTATGCAGAAGAATAACCGCAATGTCGATTTGACTAACAATATAACAATAAAACAGTTTATTCAAAATATATGCGAAACGGACAGCAAAGCCACTGCGGGTAGACAATAAAAGTGTAACCTACATAGGTATCAGTGGGTTTTGTTTTTGTTTCTTTCTGTATTAATTTACTGTATTAATACTGCTCTTAATTTTGTGTTTTAGCATTTTATTTCAGTTTTTACAGTATCGTCCGTTACTAATATTGCTCTTACATTTGTGTTTGCTTTTAACCATATTTTCTTATTACTTGTGTTTCCAAGTCCCGTCTTTTTTCTAGTTTGGTTTTGTGGTTTACAAATTTTCATAATTTTTTTATGCTGTTTAATTTTGATGGTTTCTGTTTTTTTCTTCTATTTTTTTCTTCTCAAATTATTGTTTATGTGTATTAATTTTTACCCATGTTTTATTATTTGGTTTTTATCTTTGCGATACTGACATGTCAAATTACATAATAATAGGTTAATTAATACTAGTATAATAAATGATCTAGTAAAGTAAGAAAAAAGTACGGAGGCAGAGACTAGTATATAATGGTTGTCAGCGTCTACTGTGGATAATATCACATCAGTCACCTCCCTACTCCTTAACACAACAACACTTTATTGTTACTTTATATATACATAGCACAGCAAGGTTACAAATAGCAAACTATTTTAACTTCATTAATGGTTTTATCAAAAGAGTTCAATATCATTAAAAGCAAGACTGATAAATTATAAACATCCATTCAGATAATAATGCTATCAACTCAATATATCCAGCTCTCATATTAATACATGCATTTGTTGCTTGCTGGTATAGCAGCTGATAAACCCCGTTAACCCATGACCACCTCTCTCAAACCGTTCAGGAGGAGAAAACGCCTACTTCTTTCCTACTGTTAACCGTTGACAGGGGCACTGTACCCGCTCTAAGGGGCACTGGACCCGCTCTACAATGTCCTCGACTCTTGCCTTTTATCACATAGAACTTCCAAGACGGCCGTTTCTCTGTACTGTATAAATCTTCTCTTTTGGCTGCCCAAGGTTTTGTTTTCTTTGAAATTTCAACATGTCTGTATGGCATGTTCTATGTGTCTCGCTGTCTCCTTTCAATGTTGCGTTGAAAGGGTGGCTCTAACTCACACGTTACTTCTGTTTACACCAAGTAAGCCTTTGGGCTGGATTGGTGTTCAAACAATGTCTAGTGTTTTTCTGGAACTTCTTTTCATTCAAAGATTTGCCAACTGCATAGATTGTGCTCTCTGGTGTGTTGATTAGTAAGTATTCTCTGGCCGCACGTGTTAACTTCGCGTTCGCGTTAGGCAGTAGCGGTAAGCTTATACATGTAGAACAATCATACAGTACAGTTATAGCCGTACCGTCATAGGTAGAAACATAGCGGTAAAGTTTGGACTTTTTTTTTTCAGATAGTTATTTATATGCATTTATTATTTTCTTTAATAGTAATATTTTGACTCAAGTATTTCAATTAATAGCATTTACTATATAGTTTCTATCTGTTGTAGACTCTTTTAGAAACATTAGTTCTACAGCTTTAGTGAGTCATGTTGTATTATGACAGTTGTTAGTTCGATTCATGATTAATCAATATTTGTAGTTTCTTGAAATATAATTAGAAAAATATTAATTTGACCTGCCGGATTTTTTAAGTAGAATACATGTAGAATAACAATTTAAAAGGGAAAATCCGCTTGCGGTAGGAGGCGGGTGGATTCCGAACAGCTAAACTCCATTACAACTACAGCATCGGCGATTAGCAGGACTGTGATTATTGGCCAAGTTGTTATGCTTTTTATGTATCCTTATTATTTCTGTTTTGCAGGAACGTATTATTGCCTGAATATGGTACTAATTACTCTTTCATCATTCCTCAACGTTTTTGTGGTTAACATTTCCTTCATCGGAGCGAGGGCAGCTGTCCCCTACATGTTGAAAAGGGTGAGTATCACATTTTGACGAATGGATAGGTTTTATTTGACGGGTGATTATTATTGTTGTTTATTGATATTGGAAGGTTGAAGTTATGACGGGTGTTTATGTGATGGGCTGGTAGTTATTGTGGTGGACGATTATTGCTTGCGATGGGTAGAAAGTGTTTGTGACGGGTGATTATTTATTGATAGTGGAAGATTGAAATATTAACGGGTATTTGTACTTGCGATGTGTAGGAAGTAATTGTAGTGGGTAAGTATTGCTTGTGATGAGAAGGTAATGTTTGTGACGGATAGATTGTGGTTTTTGTCGTTATAATAGCATCGTCATATTCTAAAAAGCGCTACAAGAAATAGAATCTTATCATACTGCAAACGTGATGTTTTGAATGATACTAAAGGTTTTGAAAGAGAAGCGAGTTTTGTTAAAGTGAATCTTGCAGTTTGGTTACCTTAAAGAGCTTTGACATCAAACATAAAAAAATGCTATTTCTGTTGAAGGAAATAAAAGTGAATTATACCAAAATTTTAAATAAACGAAATCGTCATAGAATGCAGCAACATGTTTACTTCCTTAGGCGTTACGCAGCGGCCAACTTAAATTGTAAATAGATGATTGTAACTTATATTTCAAGTTATTGTTTTAAAAATATTTCAAGTTATTGTTTTAAAACCATATACAGTCATATTTAAAAAGAAGTACTAAATCCACTACAAGTAGAAATATGCAACAGACAAATATGTATCGTACTTCTTATTGACATATCTCTGTCTTGACGAATAAAAGACGAGGTAGGATATGATATAATAAAGAACAAGTGTTATGGTATAGGATATAAATAACTGGTAGAGAAGGATATACAAAAGGACTAGGTAGGGCAGGATATTGTTAAGTACAACGTAGGGTACGATATAATAATGAATACGATAGGGTAGGGTATAATAATGGATAAGATAGGGTACGATATAATAATGGATAAGATAGGGTAGGGTATAATAATGGATAAGATAGGGTGAGGTATAATAATGGATAAGATAGGGTAGGGTATAATAATGGATCAGATAGGGTATGATATAATAATGGATAAGATAGGGTAGGGTACATGTATAATAATGGATAAGATAGGGTACGATATAATAATGAATACGATAGGGTAGGGTATAATAATGGATAAGATAGGGTGGGGTATAATAATGGATAAGATAGGGTAGGGTATAATAATGGATCAGATAGGGTATGATATAATAATGGATACGATAGGGTAGGGTATAATAATGGATAATATACGGTGAGGTATAATAATGGATAAGATAGGGTAGGGTATAATAATGGATAAGATAGGGTATGATATAATAATGGATACGATAGGGTAGGGTATAATAATGGATAAGATAGGCTGATGTATAATAATGGATAAGATAGGGTAGGGTATAATAATGGATCGGATAGGGTATGATATCATAATGGATACGATAGGGTAGGGTATAATAATGGATAAGATAGGGGGAGGTATAATAATGGATAAGATAGAGTAGGGTATAATAATGGATCGGATAGGGTATGATATAATAATGGATACGATAGGGTAGGGTATAATAATGGATAATATACGGTGAGGTATAATAATGGATAAGATAGGGTAGGGTATACTAATGGATCGGATAGGGTATGATATCATAATGGATACGATAGGGGAGGGGATAATAATGGATAAGATAGGGTGGGGTATAATAATGGATAAGATAGGGTAGGGTATATTAATGGATAAGATAGGGTAGGGTACATGTATAATAATGAATAAAATAGGGTATGATATAATAATGGATAAGATAGGGCATGGTATAATAATGGATAAGATAGGGTGAGGTATAATAATGGACAAGATAGAGTAGGGTATAATAATGGATAAGATAGGGTATTATATGATAATGGATACGATAGGATAGGGTATAATAATGGATAAGATAGGGTAGGGTATAATAAAAGATAGGTCACAGTAGGTTAAAGCAAATCAATAGGACGGTGGGATATATTATATAGACTAGGTAAGGGAGGCTATAACAAAGGACAAGGAATGAAGATATAATATAATTAAGGACTATTTAGCTAGGGTAGTCATAACATTAAAACCCTTTACGATATATTTACTGTACACGTTAGAAATATGTGATTTTTTTCGGCAAAATGGCGGCAAGTCCAAACGCATTTTAATGGTTTCTGAGCTTATTCTGGGGGTTGGGATGAGAGAAAATACTCTTTGATGCCCAAGGGTGTAGAATAGGGAAAGCTTCGGGTTTTACCAAATTTGAAAACCCCACGGTAGGAATTTCCCTATCCTACATTCCTTGGCCATGAAAAAGATTTTCAAAATGGTAGTCAGTCCAAACGCATTTTTATGGTTTCTGAGCTTATTCTGGTAGAAGTAGTGACCGGAAAATACTATTTCATGCCAAGGGGTGTAGAAAACGACGATTCCACATTCGGGATTTTCAAATTTTCCAACCCCTTAGTAAAGCCTCGGGTTTTACCAAATTTGAAAACCACTCGGGTCGAATTTCGCTATCTTACATGCACATTCCTGGACATAAAAATGTCTTAAAGGACTATTAGAATATTTTAAGCATAAGGTAGGGTAGGATGTAATAAAGAACAATGCAGGGTAGACTTTGTTTAAGGACAAGATATGGTTATATATAATAATATATTAATTACTGTAGGACATAATAAAGGATTAGCTGAGTAGGATATAAAAAAGGATAAGCCAGGGTAGAATATAATAAAGGAGGTTAGGATATAATAAACTATATGGTTGGATAGAAAATGATAAAGGATTGGTTAAGGAAGGACAAGATAAAGGATTTTATAGAGTAGGACATAATAAAGGAGTAGGTAGGGCAGAATGTAATAAAAGATAAGTAAGGGTAGAAAAGGTAGAAAAGCATACAACACTAATATTACCAATTATCTCTATTAAACTGCAAGGTAGGGTAGGATATAATGATGAAAAGGTAGGGTTAGCTATAATAAAGGACTAGGTAGGGTATGATATGATTAACTACCAGGTGGGTTAAGATATAATACACTACAATGTAGGCTAAGGTATAATTAAGGTTTAGGTAGGGTACACTGTAGGATATTATAAAGTACAAGGTAGGCTAAGGTATAATTAAGGATTAGGTAGGGTACACTGTAGGATATTATAAAGTACAAGGTAGGCTAAGGTATAATTAAGGATTAGGTAGGGTACACTGTAGGATATTATAAAGTACAAGGTAGGCTAAGGTATAATTAAGGATTAGGTAGGGTACACTGTAGGATATTATAAAGTACAAGGTAGGCTAAGGTATAATTAAGGATTAGGTAGGGTACACTGTAGGATATTATAAAGTACAAGGTAGGCTAAGGTATAATTAAGGATTAGGTAGGGTACACTGTAGGATATTATAAAGTACAAGGTAGGCTAAGGTATAATTAAGGATTAGGTAGGGTACACTGTAGGATATTATAAAGTACAAGGTAGGCTAAGGTATAATTAAGGATTAGGTAGGGTACACTGTAGGATATTATAAAGTACAAGGTAGGCTAAGGTATAATTAAGGATTAGGTAGGGTACACTGTAGGATATTATAAAGTACAAGGTAGGCTAAGGTATAATTAAGGATTAGGTAGGGTACACTGTAGGATATTATAAAGTACAAGGTAGGCTAAGGTATAATTAAGGATTAGGTAGGGTACACTGTAGGATATTATAAAGTACAAGGTAGGCTAAGGTATAATTAAGGATTAGGTAGGGTACACTGTAGGATATTATAAAGTACAAGGTAGGCTAAGGTATAATTAAGGATTAGGTAGGGTACACTGTAGGATATTATAAAGTACAAGGTAGGCTAAGGTATAATTAAGGATTAGGTAGGGTACACTGTAGGATATTATAAAGTACAAGGTAGGCTAAGGTATAATTAAGGATTAGGTAGGGTACACTGTAGGATATTATAAAGTACAAGGTAGGCTAAGGTATAATTAAGGATTAGGTAGGGTACACTGTAGGATATTATAAAGTACAAGGTAGGCTAAGGTATAATTAAGGATTAGGTAGGGTACACTGTAGGATATTATAAAGTACAAGGTAGGCTAAGGTATAATTAAGGATTAGGTAGGGTACACTGTAGGATATTATAAAGTACAAGGTAGGCTAAGGTATAATTAAGGATTAGGTAGGGTACACTGTAGGATATTATAAAGTACAAGGTAGGCTAAGGTATAATTAAGGATTAGGTAGGGTACACTGTAGGATATTATAAAGTACAAGGTAGGCTAAGGTATAATTAAGGATTAGGTAGGGTACACTGTAGGATATTATAAAGTACAAGGTAGGCTAAGGTATAATTAAGGATTAGGTAGGGTACACTGTAGGATATTATAAAGTACAAGGTAGGCTAAGGTATAATTAAGGATTAGGTAGGGTACACTGTAGGATATTATAAAGTACAAGGTAGGCTAAGGTATAATTAAGGATTAGGTAGGGTACACTGTAGGATATTATAAAGTACAAGGTAGGCTAAGGTATAATTAAGGATTAGGTAGGGTACACTGTAGGATATTATAAAGTACAAGGTAGGCTAAGGTATAATTAAGGATTAGGTAGGGTACACTGTAGGATATTATAAAGTACAAGATTGGCTAAGGTATAATTAAGGAGTAGGTAGGGTACACTGTAGGATATTATAAAGTACAAAGTAGGCTAAGGTATAATTAAGGATTGGGTAGGGTTCCCTGTAGGATATTATAAATTACAAAGTAGGCTAAGGAATAATTAAGGAGTAGGTAGGGTACACTGTATGATATTATAAAGTACAAGGTATGCTAAGGTATAATTAAGGAGAAGGTAGGGTACACTGTAGTATATTATAAAGTACAAAGTAGGCTAAGGTAAAATTAAGGATTAGGTAGGCTACACTGTAGGATATTATAAATTACAAGGTAGGCTAAGGTATAATCAAGGATTA